TCATTCCAAACACGTTAAATTCGTAAGAAAAATATTAGGAAGCGATTTTCGTGAATAAATTCATAAATTCTTTAATTGTCTCAATATACTTCAATTTAATCACAAATGGGGTATTTTTATCACCAAAATAGAGTCACTTTCATGACTCTAACAAGTTTTCAGGAACTGAAGAAAAGATTAACCACTGCTCCCATTTTGGTGTTAACACAGGAGGGTGTGGATTATGATAGTTACATGTCACGAGCTGGAAGAAATACCTTCGAAGTATGTACCAAAATTATTTAGTATATTCATATCATAAAAGATTTTGTGGATATTCATGTAGATATTTTTCGGGCAAGACAACAACGAACAAATGAAAAATAATATGCTAATCTTACAGTAATTTATGCAACAGAAGATTTTTTTTTGCTTATGTTATGGTTAACTAAAATTTGTTTATGTAAATTTTGTACAACTGAGATTTAATTTGTTTCAAAAGATATAAAAGATTAAACTAGTATACTTGTAACATTTAATGAAGGGGTTTTCATCTCAACCGCTAAGATTTGATGAAAATATAAAAATTTTAATGATATTTTAATAAAATAAATCTCTTTGTCGTTAGTGAGCTCTGTTAGTGTACCGTTAAAATTTATAACAAGAAATCTTAAAGAATATTCACTATATTACCCCTCTACCATTTAATTTAATAGCAAAAACCTTTAAGACAAAGAGACTCTTGTCATTACTATAACTATAGTAGGATTTTTGTTATTTAATCATATCTCAACGGGATTATTATTATACACCCTTAACTTAATATAAAACTAAGCATAAAAAGGAAAAAGGGTAGAGAGAGAATATGAAAATCCTAACATCTATGAATATCGTATCGAAATAAGTTAATTTGTTCCAAAACAGTGTGATTGATTTTGATACTGAATTACTATTACATTTTAAAGAAAATTTACGGTATACTGAAAGAGATTAAAAAATAAAAATTGAAAGGCTATTAATTCATTACGCAAGTATTAATTGTAGAGAGAAACATATCAATTCAATCATGCAATTCCTAGTTCGAAATAAACTCCCATTGAAAGTAGATGGATTCATGCAGATTCGATTAGGATTTTGATAACAACTGAAACTTAAGTATTAAATTTTGACAATGATTAAACATAAAATATGACCAAGACTCTACTGCTGTATCGTTAAGATTAACGTGGACGCCCATGACGTATATACACACTCTCTGATTGATGTAAGCAAAAAAAAAAAACATTGTTTAAATGTACTTGTCAAAATTAGACACCGTGAATGAATAAAAAGTAATATGATAATATGTGAGAGAAATTTTGAGAAATTAAAACATAGGATTCGTTATTTTAAAACACATGCAAAAACCATTAATTCTTCTACTGGATTAACATTTTATTTTCATGACACCTGTCCAATTTTCTTACTCTGGTTGAGAAACTATTTAAAATGGATAAAAGAAAAAGCTTTTAAATGGTGAAAATATAAAATTTAATTGTTGATTTAACACATTTTACCAAATAACAAGTTCAAAAGGTTGGATGATGGCTTGAAACGTTACCGTATTGACACTTAAGTGGAACGACGTCGTTTTGCCAACTGACAGAATCAATCCTGAGCGTTGATGAAAAAGGGAGATCCAACGGATGTCATATAACCCTAATGTTCCCATATAAAAGCAGAATTATTTTTGGCAGTTTATGCAAGGCAGATTAGTCTTTCGTTTTGACGATTACTCTCTCTTCTTCGGTAAAACACCATTGTTAAACCTTTAGGGTTCTACAGTTGGGTTGAGTGTTTCCTGTAACTTGAGTGTTGAGTGATGGTTAGGTTTTCTGGGTGTATTGTATACAATGCTCTTAGGGATTCGAAGGGTGTATCTCTAGGGTTTGGTTACGGGTTGAAGGAGGGTTTCTAGAGTGACTTGGTTGCTTATTGTGTATCTGTAAACTTGACCGTTAGTGCAGCGAGCTCGTGTGATTCTCGAGTTCAACGTGGACGTAGCTTGTCAATCTTAGAGCAAGTGAACCACGGTAAATCTGTTTGTACTGTGTGCTTGAATCTTGATCTTGATTTGTTGTTGTGTTGGTTGATTCTTTCTTTAGGAGGTATAACAGTGGTATCAGAGCATCTTTGGAAGATTAGGGTTTCATGTTGTGAAATTAGGGTTTCGCGAAATAGGGTTTCGTGAAATTAGGGTTTCAAAATTAGGGCTTCTGAAATTGGGGTTATTTCTCGAATCTGTGCAAAGGTATATAGGCTGGAAACCAGTAACAGCCTTAAAAAATGCTTGGCAGCAATTGGCGAATTCTGGTGTAACAAAGCCACATACCTTCAAAGATTTTTGTTGATTTACTTTCTTTATTTCTTATTATAAACTGTGCAAAGGTATATAGGCTGGAAACCAGTAACAGCCTCAAAAACTGCTTGGCAGCAATTGGCGAATTCTGTGTAACAAAGCCACGTACCTTCAAAGATTGTTGTTTTCTTTCCTGTATTTTCATTATAGTGTAATGAGTACACTCGTATGGAGATCTCCCAATATGATGGGAAGATCGATTTGGGAGTTGGAAGAAAAAAGATGAAAGCACTGCTGTCCCACAACAAGGTTGCCATTGCACTGGAAGAGGACCCGAGAAATGGCCAGAGAAGAAGTTGAAAAAGAAAGAGGAGATCAATGAGGAGGCATACAATCTGATAATCATGAACCTGTGACAGCGTCCTCGGAAGGTAGATGGAATTGAATCACCGATTGAACTCTGGGGAAACTCACTACATTGTATGCTTTGCAATCTGCCCCAAATAGCTTTTCTAAAGGGGGCTCTATTCTCTTATAAAATGGATAGTGCTAAGAGTATAGAGGAAAACTAGATGATTTTGAAAATGACTTTGGTTCTAAAAGGGACAGATCAAGCTTAGAGAGAAACTAGCCTAGCTATGATTCTATTGAATTCCCTGACTGATGATACCAAGTAGTCAAGAATGCCTTACAGTACTCTGGTACTGTACCAAACCTGACCTAATAACAGCAGGACTTAGGGCTAGAGAAATAGAACTGAAAACCAGAAACGGAATGGCACTAATCTGTTTGTTAAGAGTAGACCAGAACCTAGTCACACTGGGAAAGGAAATCAGAACAATCAGGGGGCGAGAAATAAGAAAAAATGGGAAGGGCAGTAACAAGAATAGAGGTGAATCCAGGAAATGCTTCTTTTGTAATAAAACAGGGCTATTAAAAAGAACTGTTTTGAGTGGATCAAAAAGCAAAAGCAAGGGATACTGAGAATAATCTAGCTACTACTAGAAACTAGTAGAGGAGCCTGAAGTCCTTACTGTGTCGATGAATGACACTGGTGAAGAGTGGGTGCTGGACTCAGGCTGTTCTTTCACATGAGCCCTAGGAGAGACTGGTTCCGGACTTTGAAGGGTTGAAAATGAAACTGTGTATATGGGGAACAATAAGCTTGCAGAGTAAAAGGGGTAGGTACTGTGACTAAGGGTTAACACAGGAAAAGTGGTAAGATTAACTAGGGGCAGATACATACCTGAACTTAAAAGAAACTTAATTTCCCTAGGCACCTTGATGAATCAGGATGTTGTTACAAAGCAGAACATGGTTGCTTGAAATTATAGGGGTAACAACCTTATTCTGACAGGAGAGAAAAGAAATGGCCTCTATATCCTTTGTGGAAATTGTCCCCAAAACTGTTTGAACTCTGTGGTTACCTCCACTAACTTGTCCAATAAGAAAGGTGGCATCTTAGGTTAGGCCAAATGAGTCAAAGGGGCCGGACATTCTGAAGAATAAAGGGCAGTTTGGGAAAGACAAGATACTTCCCTTGACTGTGAGAATTGTGTTCTAGGGAATAGCATGAAATAGCTTCACCGAGGGACAACACTAGCAACAGTCCACTAGAATACATCCACTCTGATCTGTGGGGACCTGGAAAAGTAAAGTCTCATGGAGGAAATAAACTACTTCATGTCTTGGTGGATGACTATAGCCGTAAGGTCTGGGTATACTTGTTGAAAACAAAAGATCAGGCTCTAGCCAGGTTTAAGGATTGGAAAACCCTAGTAGAAAACCAAATGGGAAGAAGGGTGAAGGTCCTCAGAACAGACAATGGGCTAGAATTTTGCAATCAAGACTTTGACAAGTTTTGTAGTGACCAAGGGGTTCTAAGACATAGAACAGTGACATACACCCCTCAACAGAATGGAGTGGCAGAAGAATGAATAGAACCCTCCTGGATAAGGTTAGGTGCCTGTTAATAACCTCCAATCTCCCCACCTCATTCTGGGGAGAAGCTTTTCAACAGATGCCATCTGATAAATAGAAGCCCATCCACTGCTATCAACTTAAAAGTCCTGAGGAAATGGGACAGGAAGAGTCCCAACCTTAAACCACCTGAGAGTTTTGGGTGTGCAGCCTATTGCACACACCACAGGAGGCAAACTAGAACCAAGGTCTACTAAGTGTATATCCTGGGGTATCAAGAAGGGACCAAAGGCTATAGACTCTGGGAAAGATACTCCAGGGGTCAAAATCATTGTGAGCAGAGATGTCATATTCAATGAGGGAGTTTTCCCTTGTAAGGAAACCAGAAAAGGACTGACCACATGACAAGAAAAGATCCCTTCACCCAACCTGAAGTTACTCCAATTGAGGTGGAGCTACCTGTCCAAACTCAAACACAGTCAAGAAACTGGAAATGTACTGATCATGGAGAAGAAACTGGACAACCTTATCCAGAACATGAGGATGAGATAGAAACAGTAGATGATACTGAGACCCAACCTGAACACTACAAGACTACCAACTTGCAACAGACAGAACCAGAAGACAGGTAGGGCACCCATGAGATATTCCTATGCTGACTAATATACACTGCTCTTCTTGCAGGTACTGAAGTACAAAGAAGAGAACCAGAAAACTATGAGGAAGCCATGCAGTCAAAGAAAGTAACCAATGGAAGGCTGCTATGGAAGCTGTGAATGAAATCCTTGGAGTGAACAGGACCTGGAAGCTTGTACCAAAGCCCAAGGATCAGAAACTTGTACAATGCAAGTGGCTCTTCAAATTAAAGGAAGGTATCACTGATAAAGATCCCCTCAGGTATAAGGCTAGACTTGTAGCAAAGGGGTTCACCCAAAGAGAGGGAATTGACTCCAATGAAGTCTTCTCCCAGTAGTTAAGTACAAGACCATAAGGCTTATGCTGTCCATAGTAGCTCATCAGGACCTAGAGCTTGAACAACTAGATGTCACAACTGCTTTTCTCCATAGAGATCTTGAGGAAGAGATCTACATGTGCCAACCTATAGGTTTCATAGATAACAAGGCCCTAACCATGTCTGCCTACTGTTGAAATCCTTGTATGGTCTAAAGCAATCCCTAGACAATGGTATAAGAGGTTTGACACCTTTATAGTAAGTATAGGATCACCAGGAGTAGATATGACAGCTGCTTCTACTATGCTGTCCTAGATGAAATGCTATTTACTATTGTTGTATGTAGATGACATGTTACTGATAAGTAAGTCAAAACCTCTGATTTGTGAGTTAAAGAAGAAACTGAATACTGAATTTGAAATGAAAGACCTAGGGGATGCTAGAAAGATTCTAGGAATGCAAATTGAGAGAAACAGAAGTAAGTGTAAACTGAAAATTCACCAGTGCTCATACTGCATAAGTTAGTAGAAAAGTTGAAATGTCAGGGTCCAAAACAGTCTCCCTGCCTTTAGCAAAACACTTCACCTTAAGCAAGTCCAATGCCCTATACTGATGCTGAGTCAATCAGAATGGAGACCATTCCCTATGCCAATGTGATTGGATCCTTGATGGATGCTATGATTAGTACTAGGCCTGATCTATCATTTGTGATATCCTTGCCGAGTAGATTTATGTCCAATCCTGGTATGGAACATTGGACAGCCCTGAAGTGGGTACTCCAATATGTTAGTGGGTCATTGAATGTGGGATTGGAATATTATAAAAGGTCTGCCTCACTTGAGCTGGATGGTTTTGTAGACTCTGATTTTGCAGGTGACAGGGACACCAGGAAGTTAACCACTGCGTATTACTTCACCTTGGGAGGCAACTGCATTGCTGGAAGTTCAATTACAGCCTATAGTTGCACTGTCCACAACCGAGGCTGAATATGTGGCTGTAGCTGATGTATTCAAAGAGGCAATATGGCTCAAAGGGATACTAAGTGAGGCAAAGCTGACTGAACTGAAAACAACCATATTTTCAGACAGTCAAAGTGCAATACACCTGAGCAAGAATCCAGTATAACATGAGCGAAGCAAACACATTGATGTTCGCTATCACTTTGTCAGAGATCTGATCACTAGTGGGGAGATATACTAAATAAAGTTCCCACAGAGCATAATCCAGCAGACATGGGTACGAAGATTGTTACTATTGCAAAGTCAAGCATTGCTTGAACTTACTGTCCATTCAGTAAGCAACAGAACAAGAGAACGATGAAGGACTCACTGACGGCTAGCTGCACTAAGCACAGGGGCTATTGTTCAACCATCAAGGTGGAGATTGTTGGATGATGGCTGAAACGTTACCGTATTGACACTTAAGTGGAACGACGTCGTTTTGCTCCAACTGACAAGAATCAATCCTGAGGTTGATGAAAAAGGGAGATCCAACGGATGTCATATAACCCAATGTTCCCATATAAAAGCAGAATATTTTTTGCAGTTTATGCAAGGCAGATTAGTCTTTGTTTTGACGATTACCTCTTCTTCTTCGGTAAAACACCTTGTTAAACCTTTAGGGTTTCTACAGTTTGGGTTGGTGTTTCCTGTAACTTGAGTGTTGAGTGACTGGTTAGGTATTTCTGGGTGTTGTATACACTGCTCTTAGGGATCGAAGGGTGTATCTCTAGGGTTTGGTTACGGGTTGAAGGAGGGTTTCTAGAGTGACTTGTGTTGCTTATTGTGTAATCTGTAAACTTGACAGTTTAGTGCAGCGAGCTGTGTGATTCTCGAGTTCAACGTGGACGTAGCTTGCTCAATCTAGAGCAAGTGAACCACGGTAAATTGTTTGTACTGTGGGCTGATTCTTGATCTTGATTTGTTGCTTGTGTTGGTTGATTCTTTCTTTAAGGAGGTATAACAAAAGTATTCTTGTAAAAAGTTGCTCATATTGACGAAGCATGTTAAATTCACCCACCATTAATTATAGTAATATTTAGTTTATGTGGCCAAACCAGCCAATCGAAACATGTGCTATGTGAAAAGTTATTGTTATTAATAACTTAATCTTCCATAATTTATTTCATTGCCTGGTTTATTTATTTAAGCACCCTGGGAGGCTAAAATAAGAGTCCATACCAAATTATTTGAGTTAAAAAATTTTTTGATCTTAAAACATAAAAGAAATGAGTATCAGGTGAAGAAGAGTAATTTTAATTGAACGTCAAAGATAATTATATACCTTATATTAAAGATACGTACTTAATCATGGATTTGTAATGAGAATTAGCAGTACTATATAGTTCATACAAAATCAAATGACAAATAAGTTTTCAACGACTTATAAGAGAATTGCACAAACTATTCTCCAGTATGTTTATGCATAAGAAGTTTCAAGGATCAAGCTCATTTATGCTGATCCCATTTCAACTAAATAAATGCATAGATCATAAGATTAATCTTTTTATGAATTATTTTAATAGTTGGATTACATGCAGTCAAATAAAGAACTCACACATCTATTTTCTTAGTATCTTATAAATGTTTTTAAAACTTTTATAATATACTTATAAAATGAATAGTGATAAAGATTTTGAGTGCGAATTAGCTAATTCAACAATAACAATGACAACCAATTTTCCATGGCGGTGTTTGCATATACCTCCTCTACATTTATCTCGGCAAAAATTTGTTACATTATCATCAGTACATCCCTGCAATAGGAGGCTCAGCACAACATTTTGTAGCATCAACTTTGTCATATCCTGTAAAACCCAAAATAACATTGTGTTAGAGGATATATCTAGAATAATATTTCCTTTAGAAAGTGTAACCCATTGCTTTAACATTCTGGCTAACATTGGTACAATCTACCAAATTAATCATACTATGATGTAATGCCCACCATAGAGGTGGTTATAATCATGTCAGGACTATACTAAAAAGAAAAAACTGCATGTGAGAATATGTCAAACATCAAATTAGTGATGTCATAATACCATTTAGTAAAAGTATTTCTTGTAAAAAATAATGAAACATACCGACGAAGAGGCAAGGGCAACAAGAAGAATAAATGTGAAAACGTTGATTGAGCCATTGTTTTGCTCTTCTGCTTTTTTTTTTTTTTTTGGTTTAAAGTATTCTTAAAATTTTATTAATCATAAACTCAGTTGTACCTATTATTTATATAAGGAGATAAGAGTTTGTTCTTATAACTTAATTTGTAAAATAATAGTAATTAAATACGTCGATATAAATTAAATTAGAAAATTTGTTGAGCAAATTTTTTAAAAATAGGCAATACCATATTCAGACTTGAAAAAAAAACAAAAAACATTGAAATTTATATACATTTAAGTTATAAGTTACTATTTATGTTTTAAATGGTCACTTCAATGTTTCAATGCACATAATTGTTTAGAAAGGAACATATATGATAATAGTAAGAATTAAAGAAATAATTTAGTAGAATATAATAACTTAAGAGGGACCTGCTGTTAGGTAAGATGATGAGTAGTGATAAAATTTAATTTAATGTAATGCCCACATCAAGGTACGTAGCTTTATTTATGCCCTAATACCCTTAGTTGAATTTTGTTCAAGTTATCTTGGACAAGTGTTTAGGAAATTCTTTAAAATGTTATTAGGGGTAAAATGGTTTTTTCACTCATAATTAGTTGAAAAAGTGAGGAGTGAAAAGAAGTAGAATAACATGAAGTTAATAAAAATGAGGGCATTTTTGTAATTGACTAAGGGACATAGATGAAATTTTTAAAAGTGCAAGGGTAAAATGGGAAACCATATATATATATGTGTGTGTGTGTGTGTGTGTGTGTTATTATGTAATAAGAGTTCAAGAAGAGAAACCCTAGCCACTCTACCCATCGTTTACACCACCTTCACCCTAAATTCTCTAAAATTTCTTCACTCAATTTTCAAGGAAATTCATAGGATTTTAGTTCAATTTTGATAGATTTTCAATCCTAAACATCCAAAGGTAATATTTTTGCACCAAGAGGTGAGATGAAATTTTAAAGTTTTGAATTCTTATGATTTTATGTGCTTAGGGTTTAAGAGGAAAGGGAATTTTACCAAAGAGAGGTTATAGTGTTGGAATTGCTCAAATTCAAGGTAAGTAAATCCAACTTTAGCTTTGATTGGATAAATACTTGTGTAAAGAAATTTTTATATGTTGTATGTGTGTTTGGATGATGAGAATTATGGATTGAAAATTGAGGTTGTTTGATAAGTGAATTTCATGTCCATGAGAAGTAATTTATTATATGTGATGAGAAGTAATTTATTAGTATGTGATGAGAGGTGACTTATTAGTACGTATGTGATGAGAAATGATTTATTAGTATGTGATGAGAATTGATTTATTGGCATGTGATGAGAAGTGATGTATTTGTATGTGTTGAGTTGATAGGATTTTGGATGAAAAATGAAAGAATGGATGTGGAAAGGTGGAGGATGAAATTCAGTTAGGTTGATTGTTGACTTTAGGGAGTTGTTTACTCCAATTTTGGTGACTTGAGAGATATGTGGAAGTGTAACCAATTTTAGGGTTTGTATGTGCGTGTAAGGTGTTTGATGAAATTTCAAAGTGAAGTGCATATATGAGTATGTTAGATTATTATCTTGTTATAGAAATGTTGTTGGTGGAGAATATTAGTTCCATAATGATATCTTAATATGTCATAATGCATTCATACATTTGAGCATTTGCATTCAGAAAGAGTAGCAAAGAATGAGCATATTTACATGCACATATACATATATGAGAACATTAAAGAATAAAGAGAAAGAAAAGAATAGCAATTAAATGTAGAATTATTGTTTTAAGAAATATAATTAAAGAACAATTCAAATCTAAAATTTTACTTCAAGAAATATAAAAAGAGAAGAGAAAAGAAGATTGTTGCGATAAGGAGCCCATGAGTGACAGAGAAGAATAACCCCACATGCATGTCGCCTTTAGTGAGCGGCCTAAGAATAAAAAGAAAAATTTGTACAGTCCGTAAGAAGTGCATGTGAATGAGGACTGTACCCAAGAAAGAATTTGAGAATACACTCACACAACCAGCATTCCAAATCTATGCCTCAACTGAGTCCGATCGGCAAAGAAAGAATAGAAAAGAAAAAAAAGAAAGAAGAGAAAAGAAGAGAAACAGAAAAAGAAAGATAATAGAAAACAGAAAAGAAAACGCATTGCATAGAAAAGTTTATGCATCTGTGCATATGCATCATGCCATTTCTACTATCCTGAGTTAGTTTCCCTATTTGTGCTTACATATCGGTAAGTGAGAAACTAGAATCGTAGAAAACAGAGAAGAATAGAGAAGCTTGGTGTAAGGAAAGAAAATTCAGAATCTGAGTAATGGAGAAAGAATAGAAGTGTTGCGGGTTTACTTACTGAGCAATTAGTGCTCACCCTATTGATTTCACTGTTTTTGCAAGTAGTAGATGAGACACGGCCAGATGGGACATGAAGTAGCGGAGGAGAAAGACAACACTGTCGGATTGTATTTTTGAGTTTATTTTTGTGACTATGGTACTTGATGTAGAGATTTGTATATAAAAGTAATGCTATTTTCGGGCCCACTACCTTATACTTATATCCATATATGTTTTTTCTATGATATATTTAGTGAGTTTTTATTTTATACCTCCCAAGTATACTAGCTAGAAAGAATATTACATTTAATAAAGATAATCTTTGAGCGGGTGATATTATTGATGTAAGTTGTAAACAAAAATTATTGAAGATGACATTTTAAGTTCTATAATTATCCATAAAACAATTTGGTTTCCACTAAATACCACCCAAACATATATACAATACACTAGTCACTCCTTTCTCTTATATTCTCTCAAGGTGTCTTTCCTCACTTGTTAGAGAAAGTGTCTATTGTGTTCTCCTAATCTTGGTAAGAGGTTGTCGT